GGGGGGGTGGGGGGGGGGGGGGAGTGTACTCATAGTCGTGTATGCCGTAGTCGTTAGACCATTGACCTCGCATTCCTACAAAGCCGCGACGGAGCACGCCGGGTTCTCACCGGACCAGGCTCTCACATCACCAAGCACGAAGCACCGTGAGGTATTCCGCGTGTCGCATGAAGGGTGCGCTGCATCCTGCTAAGGGTGCTCGGCATCTTGTGCTTACTTCCTTGCATGACAGCTGCTTATGACTAAGTTTATTTTCTGGTGCTTTCACCTCCATAGACAGTTGTAAGCATGTAACTGCCTCGAGGGTGCTTGACCACTTTAACACAACGTGGTGCGATCATCCCCTTTGCGCGGAGTGAGGGTTCTCGAACCCGCACAACATACTCTACTCGACCACCATTCATGGTAACCGCAAAAAAAGAAGCGGTAACCTGGTTGCCGAGTTCAAGAAGTGATCGGCTAGTTTCACAACATCGCTGCCAAGCGACGAAAATCCAACCCCGATGACAAGCACCGAGGGGGGGGGGCAGGGGGGGGACCTCACATTTTGCATGCCTCAGTTGTAAGACCATGGTTGGGGGGTGACAAACCTACAGAGTGAAACCTTTCTGTTGGGGGACAAATCTAAGTGCGTGCACTGGGGTGCATCCTTGAAAGAGCAGCTGCACACCACCCTTTTCTTCGGTATATGATTTGGGGGTCATGCCATAGAATAATGACAACCAAGAAGAGAGCTACGTGCACGACTTGGGGCGGTTGTAGCTTCTCAACAGACAAAACAAGTCAGCAGAAGAAGCAAGTACAAGCAAGACCATGATCACGACTACACGACACTAAACGGTAGACTATTGTAGAAACCTTTCGCGACAGCACGTAGCCAGCCAGGGCGGGTCTGTCTTCCCAGAGACAGACACACCGAATAGCAACAAATACAAAACCACCGCTACTACTACCGCGAACTATTCGAGGTGAGGTGAGGTGGGGTGGGATGGATGGATGCGCGCACACGCGCCGCGTGCCGGGTTGTTGTTATCGTGCGTTCTTGGAGTTGCTATTTTCTTCTCCTTCTTCGTCTTCTTCATCACCTCGGGGGGGTAGTAGGTCATCGGGCTGCCGTCGACGAAGGACACCATCGTGTCGCCCTTGAACTCCGCCCGGTCGTGTTCGATCTGACAACCACCAACGCAAGACAAACACAAGCAATAAACACGCACGCACATCAAGTCAGCAGAAACGCATGCATGAACTCAAGCTCTCATCGAATCGCATTCGCTTTTCGATTTCGAGACCAAACAGATGAAAAATGGAGGAGACATGAAGATACAATCAACGCATTTCTCTGAAGAAAAGAGAGAAGGAAGAAAACATCACTCTACGACGTGCGCATGCTGGTGCTCAAAAAGGCCAACAGGAAAAAATATAAATACAAATGATAAACTGTGGGGCCTGAAACAAAGAAAATTATTCAGAAGTAACATGCTACAAGGTAGAGAACGTTATTGCGCCTCCTTGTGCCTAGCCGAAGACCGAAGACAAAGCAAAGCAGAAGCCCTTACCGACTCGAAATCCGACATGCCCCATCTCATCGCCAGCTCTGCCTCCTTGCGCTTCCAGAACTCCAACATTAACACCTGCGGATGGGATGGGTGGTGCAAGTTGCGTTTCGTTGGCGCAAGCGCAACACACAACGGCAACAGAAACCAAAACCAAAACAAACAAATAGAAGGCTGCTGTGCTTGATCGGCATTAGCCAAAGAGCAACAACGACAACAGAAAACACTCCACATGAAAAAAAAAAAAAGTAAAGCGTGCGTGTGTCACCAGCGGACAAGACGAAAAGGACTCTGCTGTAGTAGGAGAATATGACGGGCCGTTGGCGGAGAGCAAACAACAAAAAAAAACATCGCCATGAAGGCATCAAGAAGCAAACATGTAGATAACACACCACCGATGGATGCAAGTAAAATACGAAATACGGACAGACAGCTAACAAATAAATGGTTCAAACATGAACCACCAACGAGCCACAGTCGGTAGAAGACAAACTCACCCCCGAAGCTTACGACGACAACACAAGGAAGATCAAGAAGAACACGAACAACAACACCTACATCGAAGCAAAAAACAAAATACTCTTACACGTACGATAACATTACAACGAGGAAGAGAGGAGAAAAAAACAACACACGCTCTCACCGCCCAGAAGGACACGAAGATGGCGAAGTACGGGGCCAACGCGGCGTCAAGATCCCACTCGCAAATTTGATCGATCGACATGGCCAGCCCCACCACGGAAAGCGGGCCTAGCCAGGTGGTGTAGTGGCCGAGGAGGGCGAAGTAAATCCCGATCTTCTCACCCACGTATTCCTTTCGTAGACGAAACCAAAACCAACGAGCAACACACGCGATGAAAAAACAAACAAACAAACATTTAAACAAACAAGTGTGGAGATGACCTTTTTTCATGAAGGGTACAATACAAGCTCCCATTGTCTGCCGAGGCAATTCCCTCAAGAAGGGCAGACTAGACTATTTTTTTCGTACTTGTTTGGGCAAAGCGAGAGAGTAAGGGTTCTAGGAACAGGAAGGAGAGACATGGAGAGGCAGGGGCGGGGGGGGGGGAAGCAGGCAAAAGGGGAAAGAGAAACAGGCCAACCCACAAAAAGCAAGCCGCGGATTCTCAAACCACTCCCCACTAGACAGAGGGAGAGAGAAAAACCTAAATTTTACGGGGTACTTCCAAGTATCATTGAAGGTATATATGCATCTATTGTTTGGAAAATACACAGCATCCTACGTACTGTCTTGGTGTGCGATTCACTCTCTCTGGATCTAACATCTAACCAAAGGCTTTCCCTGTGTGAGATCGCTAAAGCTTGCCATCAGCCCTTACTAGCGACGGAGTCATGATGGCATGGACACATCCACATATCTGTTCTGTCCACCACAAGACACAACCCCACCTTGATGTCATCCAGCGGCTGGTCTATCGGATGCAGGGACCGCTTGACCCACTTGACGAAGAGAGCGTCCCGCACCGTCTCTTGGTGGAAGGGGAAGAAGGCCTTCAGGGCGTCGTTTCTCATCAGCACCGACACATTGATCCCGCACCTTGTAGCACACACGTGCGGCACGCACGCACACCGCGAGGGTGTGCACACACGGACGGACGCAAAATCATCATCATCATCATCATCATCATCATCATCATCATTTACAAGCATCATTCTCGCCACCACCACCATCGGTCATCACCATCAGTCATTCACCTTGACCATCGCTTCGCTGGTGGATCCAAGGAAAACATGAGAGAGCATGCGCGTCTTGGTAATCGAATGGACCGCTGTGAAAGCAAAAAAGAAGAGCGTAAACACGTAAACACACCACCAGCCAACCGGGGAAGAAAAGAACGAGCGGTACATTGTACCCAAAAGTAAGTTGCGTTCTCCACCCACCCCTCGTTCCCCTGTTGAGACCCCCCTTGAGAAAACGAAACGAAAAGACCTTGACATGGCGACGACGACGACACGACACAGCTTCCTTCCGGAACAAAGGCAAAGAAACAAATCTCAACACGGAATTTACTTCGTACCACAACCCACAGTTCGTACGCGCGAACAGATACACTCACACACACCTTACTTTCCCCCCAACCCGCACCCTTCGATTAACAAGTGTTCGTGTTTCTTGTCCCGCTACAAGACTGACGTCGAATTTCATTGGTCAGCCGGTTACCCGGGTCGATACTAATGAAGAAAAAAAAAAAAAAAAAACACACACACACCCGTCGGCTTCGGTGCTCTCCACCATCCTCCTCAAGATCTTGATGCGGTGCATGCTGGAGAAGGGGTGTTCCAGGCCGGCCTTGCAGGCGAACATGGGTGTTAGGCGCTGGCTCGTGCCGTACTTGCCGTAGATTAGCTCGTGCGGTCTGTGGGTGAGAGGCGAAAAAAAACAGGTGTTTTGAAGGGGTGTGTGTGGATGAAAAAACAGATCCCATCTGCAGGTGAGGGAACATCACGAAGTATCGCCCCGGTCAGCGCGCGCTAGGGTAGCTACGACATCGTGTGACTATCGAGACGATTGAGATATCGAAGGGTTGTTGCGTCGATGGATAGATACGCCTACGGCGTTGAAGGAATGCGGCCTAGCGGTGGTAGAACAGAGGGCACGTTTAGATTCAGCGGCAAGAGGGGTTCCAGCGTTTCCACGCATCACGTACATACGGTATCGTTTCTCATGGTAGACGGGATAGAAACGCGCAACAAGAGGAACACCATCAAAGATATCAATAGGATATTAGAGATGCATCTAACAGCAGTACTACGCGCATATCGCCCCTCCCCCCCCCTCTGTCTCTCTCTGCGTCCTCCCCCCGGCGCGCTGCGCTCCCCTCCCCACTCTAGTGTATCAGCCTATCAGCCTACGTGTCACATTTCTCGCGATCAAACACCATACATGAGAGCACACCCATCATACCGCCCCAATACATCAACCTCGAACGACGACACCATGCCATACCATACCGTAACCATGTCACAACACCATTGTCATCAAATACCCCGCACATGGTGACGGCGGGATCGAAAGTGACGTGCTATGTACACGGCGTCTCCTCCCTCCCGCCATACAACGCCGCAACCTACCTTACCATACAACGCCACAACCTACCTTACCATACAACGCCACAACCTACCACGTCACCCTGTCACACAAATTACCACACCACAGCAGAGCACCATACCGTCGTAGTCCTATAATACCTGTACATGGTGATGGTGGGATCGTGCGTGATGTGCCGGCCAGCGATGGGTGGGTCCTTGGACCCTTGCTCCACGGCTCGCTTGAGCTTCGTCTCGTCCAAGAGCATCAGGTACTCCACGTCCGCGGCGTACCTTGCGAGCCTTTCCAGAGGCGCCCTTCTCATACCCCATCAAACACATCCCGCCCCCGCCACAAAAAAGAAGCGCGGAACCAGCGTCGAGCAGCGCGGAGAAACCATGAACGAGAGAGAGGGAGGGACAGACAGAGGGAGAGAGACAGAGAGAGGGAGGGAGGGGAAAAGACAAGAGACACACGGAGAGACACGTGGAAAAGAGGGAATCAAACAATCGTCCTCGATAGATTTTGGGGAAGTGTCATCCTTTTCGAAGGTCGCCTCCACAGATTCTAAATCAACGATCCCCTGTCACATGGTAGGTATTTCGAACCCTCACGTACTTCCTCGCGCTCCTTTGTCAAGGAATATTGTACAACAAATACGTGACAGCAGTTTTTGATGCCTCGCAAACGCCCGCTTCCCACGGCGAACCACAACCGCATTATCACCATTGCCAGCCCTCGTCTTGTCTCAATACCGTGCCAACCCGGAAGAACCCGGAATAAGAGTGAAGCACCCCACTCCAAGTTGCCAGCCTCCATCCGGTAAGTCGGCAAAGCAACCCAAAACACGGGTGGTGCGTCGCCAGCTAACAAGAAAAATACGTTGGAAGCGAAGACACTACACAACACGCAGACACACAAACGAGAAGAAAAAAAAAAGAGTGTGATACTGTACCAAAAAAACATCTCCCGGCAAGGTATCATAGGTATGCAAGATCCGGTAGGTCTCTCTCCGTCCTTACCGGATCTTGCAGATGATTTCGTCCATCTGCACAGAGTAGTAGAGGTACGTCTCCATGCCGGCGTTGTGAAGCCTCCGGATGATCTCGGAAGCGTGCGGCACCCCCGATGGCGGCTGTGCAGGCACCCAAGGCAGGCGAAGGCAGGCAAGGCAGGCCGCGACACATCCACATGAAACAACGGAGAGAGTGCACTAGGCGGGGGGGGGGGGTGTACTCATAGTCGTGCATGCCGTAGTCGTTAGACCATTGACCTCGCATCCCTACAAAGCCGGGACGGAGCACGCCGGGTTCTCACCGGACCAGGCTCTCACATCACCAAGCGCGAAGCGCCGTGAGGTATTCGGCGTGTCGCATGAAGGGTGCGCTGCATCCTGCTAAGGGTGTTCGGCATCTTGTGCTTACTCCCTTGCGTACGGATGACAGCCGCGTATGACTTAATTTATTTTCTGGTGCTTTCACTTCCAGAGACAGTTATAAGCACTGTGTAACTGCCTCGAGGATGCTTTACCACTTTAACACAACGTGGTGTGATCATCCCCCTTGCGCGGAGTGAGGGTTCTCGACCCCGCACAACATGATCTACTCGACCACCATTATGGTTACCGCCAAAAAAAAAAGCGAGGGAAAAAAAAAAACGGTAACCTGGTTGCCGAGTCACGAAGTGAATTGGCTTGTTTTACAACGTCGTTGCCAAGCGACGAAAACCCAATCCCGATGGCAAACACCGAGGGGGGGGCTTGTTTTACAACGTCGTTGCCAAGCGACGAAAACCCAACCCCGATGGCAAACACCGGGGCGGGGGCGGGGGGGGTCGAAACCAAGGTCGGCAGATGGGCTATCTGCCAGAATAGGAAGAACTTCAACAACCAGCACGTGTTTTCTTGCAGAGGACAGAGGCTGCTCGCCCCCCCAAAAAGCACCCACGTAGCACCGGAATCAATTCTGGGAACCAGCACTTGTATCGCCGCCCCGTTCGACTCGCCAGAACTCAACAGCAGGATCGCACAACCTACTACGAAGCACCGACTATCCCTCGTCATCCCAAGCTACCACCAGCAGCCTTGAGGTAAGCTCTCTGACTTGCCAGAACTTAAAATATCTACTACTGGAAGCAGCACCAGCTACCCCTCGTCGCCCACACCTATTTACCCAGCAGTGACAAGCTCTCACATCTGTCGGGAAGATCATGCACAGGTCCCACGAGTATCCGTATCTCGTCTCGAAGACATCCCTTGGGCGAGAGCCTCCTCGCGATTGCTGACAAGGACAAAGGCGGACACGAAACACAGAAAAAAACAACAGGGAAAAAAAGAAAGAGCATTGCGTCATTTCTCTAGAATTTGGCGTAAGACTGATTCATGTGCATGCATCGGGACACACATACATGCAACCGAAACGGCAACCGTGCTCCTGACAAAGGGGGGCACCGCAGCCGAGAGAGAGAGAGGGAGAGAGAGGACAATTCTCTAGACGGACGAAGAACGGGCGAAGGGGAAATGAAGCATGACGAAACAAAAGAGGTCGTTAGATGACTCCGTGGCACGATGGGAACCACAACGCCATCGCTACGCAGAACTCGCCCAGAGGCACGCTTGGGAAGAAAAAGAGACGGAACGCTTTCGGGTGGTGGGTACATAAAAAAACACACTGCGGGTACGGAAGACAGAAAAAAGAAGACAGGCCAGCACGGCCACCGTAGTACTGCTGCTGTGCGACCAGCCCGCTCGGCCGGATGGTTTCGTTTGTGCGCACACAACCACCAAACAGCTGCGTTATGTATCTACGCGCCGAGATAAAAAAAACGAGAGCACGTAAATCTACGCGCCGTCTGCGTGAACAGCGGCATCACACAAGCTCTACCCTGGACGCGGACCCCCGCTGCTGCTGCTGCTGCAGACTGCTATGTCACTCACATCGCCGACTAGCGCGTCTCTGTCCATTAGCTTTTGGTTCAGCCCTGACTTTGGCCGGGCCATTTCAGGACAAAGTACCCCAAGCTCTGCCAAGCCGCAAGGTTAAAAAGTTGAAGCGCTGACTAACAAAGCTCCACCTCCCCCCCCCCCCCCCCCCGGTCGGGGCCCCTTGGGGGGGGGACGGGCCCCTTGGTTTTGAAAAAGGAACGGCCGGCCCAGGGCTGGGGGCTTTCGGGGGGGATTAAAAGGGGGAAGGGGGGGGAGGGGGCCCCCTTTTTTAAGGGGGGGGGGGGCCTGGTTCCCCCCCGGTTTTTTTGGGGGGGGAACCGGGGGAAGGGGGGGGGGGGGGGGGGGGGGAAAGTTTTTTAGAAAAAAAAAAAAAACCGGGGCGGGGGGGGGGAAGGCAGGAAAGGGAACAAAAAAAACGGACGTGTGGTGGTAACCGCCAAAAGGGGGGGGGGAAGGGGAGGGGAGGGGTCCTTAAAAAAAATGGTTAAACCCAAACGGGAAAGGGGGAGGGGAGGGGGGGGGGCCCCGGAAAAAAAA